AAATGCATCACAAAAGCAAGATGGCAGTGTATTCATGATATTATGGCTTCACTTTTGCATAGTGACAGGAAGTGGTGATCCTTTGTCTGTCTTTAGATACAGTCTGTGGGTATGCCCTATACATTTAGATAAAGTCAGTAAATCAACCCCCCACCACCACCTTTGTTTATTATTCAATATTTCAGTTTTTATTTGCCACAGAACATCGCAGATTAGACTCGTCATAGCTCGACAGAAGAGGCAAGTCGAGGACACACTTGCTGTAGATCACATGTATCTGTGATGACAGTGGGAGAGTAGAGTGTCTGCAGCTTTGTCCATGTACTTGTCTTTAATAACAGGATAATTTGCAATGTGAAAACTGACTTGAGCAGAGAGCTTTGGTGTGGTCTATGGACAGGGATGAAACCAAGCTATGATGATGAAATTCTTTATTGGAGCAGAGTCTTTAACAAATGAGTTGTTTAACGCTGTGAAGAAGTTTCTGTTCTAATAGCACCTGCTGCGGTGGAGCTGGTTTGTCTCAGAATGTGCCACATGCTGAATGGCAGGACGCACGGTGTTAAAGAAGATGGGTTGGATTCTCTGTATATCACTGCACGGACACACACCCTGACAGAGTTTGGTCTTGAACTGGGGACACAGAAAGGACATCCTCTTTTTTTATTTTACAAATATGTCGTCCTTGACGTTGCTGCTGACAGTTAACCAGCGACATGATGTAAATCAGCAGGCTGCTATTTTAATCCAATCAGCTTTAAAAGGAGTTGTTGGCTCAGCATTTAATCCAATCAGTTTTTAGAGAGGAGATGTTGCTGGCCAGAATCAATCAGGCCTGCCCACCTGGTAATCACATCCAATACAGTGATTTACTGTATGGCCATGCAATATTTTTATGTCCTGCCCCAGTTGGGTTCTCAGATTTCTTTCTCCATCTCTTTCTGTTCCTTCTTGTCTAGAATTTGGTCGCGTTTCATTTCAGTGGTGTATGCTCGTGTACACACTTCCTCTTTCTCGCAGTTCCTTGACTTGTTTTGGAAACACTGATATGAAAAGCTGCTTTGGCTGATGGGAAACTGAAACATCATTAACAGGGTGTCGAGGTATCCGTTAGGAGACGGGTCCTGAATTTCATCCACAGGCATCAGCTGTGTGGCCCTGAAACAATACAGTGCAGCTGAATCTTCTTAGGAGGTAAACATTAGTTTTCCTGACCTTATCAACATTGGTAGTTCCAGTTTGGGATGATTTATACCATTCTGATTCTGATGAAGCAGATTCTGATTTTCAGACCCAGTTTTGTTACACAGCTTTAACTGTTGGTGTGTTTCTTGCATTGTTTACCGACTTCTTCCAGTAGCTCAGTTTACAAGGCTTTGGTGGTAAAAACCTTTACGGAGGTTTTCTGAATATGCACAGTCCGAGACAGTGAATTGTGAGCAGGTTAGAGTTAATTATCTTCAGTAACAGTTATAAGTAGACAGCACTCAGAGAGTGCAAACCTCCGCCAAGGCAGGTCATTTTCCCCATAACGCCATTACACCTCTAAGCAATAGCCGTGTGATAGTTTGTGTCATTATACGAGTTGTGCGCCACTCTCTTTGACCGAATGCAAGATGTGTCACCACATAGCATTCATTGTTTTATACTTTAAGGAGAAGTGTAACTGTCCAAATACTTATGGTCTGAACTGTTACAACACTTGTGCTTTATCAAGTTTAGCTGACAACACCTGATGAAGGTCTGTCAGATCCAAATGCTGCTGTGTTGACTGAAGTGTGCTGGGACCAAGGGCCCTAAACACCCAGTCATAACTCTGAAATCACACAAGTGACCTTGTAGGGTTCAGATTTGAGAGATAAGGCCCCATAATATGACTGTTGGTGATTCCTGTCCTCACGAGTAATACAAGCGCACACACTCGGAGTGCTGACCTCATGCATGGCTGATTCATGGCTCATTCCCCTGAGTGCCTTTCTACAAGGACAGGTCCACGAGGATGTCAGCTCTGTGTGTGTTCAATCATATATGACTCAGAGTGGCATGGGCAGGCTGGCTGAAGTGCACGCATGCATGCACACACCTGACCTGTGCTCTGAAGACAGGAATTCACGTGAAAATGATGAAGCGCTCGTTCAGTCTTCTCGCTCTCTGCTCCTTCTTTCACTCCCCCTCTTTGATTTGCCCACTCTGCTTTTGTCCACCCACCTCTCATCATATTTCCATTTCTCAGGTGGTGTCTCTGAAGTTAAAACAACTTTCCTGTGTGTGTGTGTGTGTGTGTGTGTGTGCTGAGGCACTGCTCGTCCTGTGTGCCAGAAAGCCTGCATCACAGTTGTGACCTACTTGGGCTCAGACTGTGCATTTTTTATGAGACTGGGAGATTCAGACGCTGTCAGTGCCAGTGCGCACGTCAGAATCCGTGCACCCACAAAAAGCGGACACCAACACACATCTGCACAGATGTTTTTATGTGAAGCGCTGCCCATTCCAACACACTCTT